ATGTTATACTCTCATAAAAAACATGCCCAAAGCCTTGCTCTGACTCATTCATGCATGTTTGAGAAATCCTGCAGCATTTTTAGGAAGCCATGCTGAGGAGCAAAACGACAGGTGGGGACCAGAAACGCCCCTGGGACGTGTCTTTAAGCCGAACTTCCTCATGGCAGAGCGCCCCCCCCCACACACACACACACCCCGCGAGCGCGACCCCACCCCAGCACCGAAATGGGCAAAACGGAAGCAAAAGGTGGTTCTTAAATAGACAGAGGCCAATTTCAAGGCGTTTAGAAGAGGAAGTGATGAGGAGATAAGTTTATTTTCTATTTAAGCATAAAACAACATTTTAATAACAGCTAAAGATGACATAGATACTTTATTATGGTATAGTATTTAAATATATGCCTGAGAAACACATAATATTGGCCCTTTCACATAGGCAATCATCAGCACACGCTGGCAGATTAACGAAAAATTCATGGACCTCAAAAACAATAAGTTACAAAAAGTGTTCAAGACTGCTCACATTACAGAGACCCAGAATGACAGTGACTGTCAACAATCAACAATGCACCCACACTAACACATACACAGAACCGAGCTTAAATACACTGAAGACAAATGAGGGAAATGAAAACACCTGGGGAGACGAGGGCAACTGTAATTACAACAACTAGACACACCTGAGAAAGAAGGAACTCAAACAGAAACCCCACAAGACCCAAACCAAAACAGAACCCAAAAACCCCTCTATGACAATAACTTTATCAACTCTGAAAACCATTTTCCACAAACTCATATGAAGCATCACGGTTTATAATCTGAAAAGCTCAAAAGTGCTGAGGACGACAAAAATGAGAAACGACAGATACGATCTGGCGGCAGCAGCTGGGCTAAACATGGTTTATAGGATATTTTGCTAACAGACAAACAGGGTTGATTCCAACAGTTAATGCCAAGCATTTAACCCAAGGTGTTGAATAGAGTGTTGTGGATGATGCTCAGTTACTACCACACCAATAAGTAGCTCAGTAAAACTAGAGTTAGACTTTTTGTGTTTTCTAAAGTCAGTTAAGGCAGTTTTCATGAATGTAATTTTTTAGTACGTTTAAGAGAGAAAGCTGCGTGTCATCCAAAGAAATATCTGTTAAATTTCAGCAAACCCAAAGATGGGCACAATGGGCCTCATGCAAGAACATGTTCGTATTCTTATCCTAAATTTCTCTTACTTTTGTTCGTATGAAGGCTTCGTACGAACATGTCACGTCAGATTCAACAAACTCTTCTATCTTCAGGAAAAGGGTGTAAATGAGCTGCATAAACATGATGAATTGCACTTGTTCGTATCCAGCTGCTCGTGCACGAGGAGAGAGATTAGCATAATTGCCACCCCAAAAACACCATATAAGGCTATGTTTCCTGCCTCAGATATCAGGAAGTGTCCATTCATGAAAATGACAGCAAAAAGTAAAAAGAAGAACTTTACGAGTTTGGAGATTAAAGTCCTGCTCTCCAAGGTCGGGAAAAGAAAATCTGTCCTTTTTTAGCAGCATCAGCTGTGGAATTAAAGAACAGGTTAAAGGCAAAGAATGAAATTAAATAAATACTGTTGTTAATGTCTCCTGTGGGTCGTTACAGTCAGAGAAATAAAAATCTAAATCATATTCATCTCTCTCTAGTCCTGCTCCTGTTTTTCTTTGGTCAAACATTTTAATTTAAGTGTAAACACCTGTGTTACATAGTTGTCATTTATTCAGAGGAAGAGCAGTCGCACTCTGCATATATTGCCACCCTGGAAGGAAAAAAAAAGCTCTACATGGGATGAATTAAAGTTTCCTGACTTGTCTTTGGATATGTTTGGAGAATTTTTTACTCAGATTCAAGAATTTTTTTTTTTGAAAAAGCAACCCTGTGTGAGAAATCCCTGTAATTTGTCAAAATAAATAAGTAATGATATGAACTGCAGTTAAAGAAAAAAATCTGGATCAACCAAAATCAGAATGCACCAGATTCACAAAAAATCTGAATCAGACTTTAAAATTTCAACGGGTGCGTCTCTAATCAGCTCTTTAATTATGAAACAACTTAAGGGTCTACATTTTAAGTGGGAACTCAGTAAAGGCATTATTTTCTTACCAAAGCCAGCAGCTTGAATGGTTGACAAAAGGCTAAAATGTTGTTTTTTGTGTAAGTAAAAAACTTGAAACAAAGAGGAAAATCTCCCAGAGATAAAAAGTTGAATTCTGACCTTCAGCTGTTTGGCAAACTCTGCATGATTGTCGTAGACAAGAACATTAGCGATGAGACTCTCTTTTGCCTTGGAGAAGGAGGTAGGACCTTCTGTGCAGCCTGGTTCAACGATTACTTCTAGCAGCGTGTGGGGACACTTAGTCCCATCCCATACCTGGGGAAAGAGGGGAAAACTAATTAAAAACATGGCAAAGTCCTTTAAGTAACTTCTCATTATATTTATGTCCAAATACATTTAGAACAAAGGACAGAAAATAATCAATTTAAAATAGAGGTGGTGGTTTTAAAACTCAAACCTCTTTAAAACTCTTTAGTGTTTTATCTATTATGGGATAAAACAAAAAATAGCACAGATAAAACACATTTTAATGTTAATAACTCTGAAACTAGAAGGCAGAAAAAAACAACACTGATAATATGTGCAATATTACACCAGTGAAGCGTGAGCTCAACATTTTAGATAATTTTCAAAGTTTGAGTACTTGTTTTTTAAACAATTACAATTATATATTTGTATTCTTTAAAAAAAGTTAGATAAATCAAGTTAATTACTGTGGCAGAGGTCTTTAAAGGGATCCCCGATTAGTTATAACATTAGACTTTATATGATAAACATATATTTTAACTGTAAAATAAAGACCGTAAAAATAATGTAGGATGTTCAGTTTTTATCATTTTTAAACTAAAACTTTAAAAATACATTACACGGACGGGGCCATTTTCTTTACACACAAAGCATTCTGGGTAAATGATGACATCAACTAGGTCCTTGGTGCGAGGCTGTTAGCGAGCTATATCCACCCTGAAGCTTAATCTTGGACAATATCTGATGATCGACTCTTTTAAATGAAACCAGAGAGCGTTGACAGAGAGGAGAAGGTAGAAATGACTCAGCCTGGAACTGAAAATATGGATGGAGGACAACAGAGCTGCTTCATGGAAGAAGAACCTCAGCTTAGCCTGTTAGCTTTAGCGTTAGCCCCGATGCTATCACCACATATATGTATTAGCTCAGCGCTACACATTCTCCTCTCGTCACTGAGGTCCTCCATCCACATGACAGAGAGGGGAACGCAAAAATGACTTAGTCTGCAACTGAAAATATGAACGGAGGACTTCAGTTTAGCCTGTTTGTCGCGCTAGCACCGAGCTAATACATGTAAGGCAATATAGCGTGAGGGCTAGTACGAACGCTAACAGGCTAAGCTGAGGTTCTTCTTCCATGAAGCAGCTCTGTTGTCCTCCATCCATATTTTCAGTTACAGGCTGAGTCATTTCTACCTTCTCCTCTCTGTCAACGCTCTCTGGTTTCATTTAAAAGAGTCGATCATCAGATATTGTCCAAGGTTAACCTTCAGGGTGGATATAGCTCGCTAGCAGCCTCGCACCGATGACCTAGTTGATGTCATCATTTACCCAGAATGCTTTGCGTGTAAATAAAATGGCTCCGTCCTTGTTAAAATATATTTTAAAAAATTTACAAAACTAAACAGCCTACAGTATTTTTCCAGTCTTTATTTTACAGTTAAAATAAATGTTTATCAAATAAAATTTAATGTTACAACTAATCGTGGATCCCTTTAAGGCAGTTAGAAAACTCCTCGATGGCAGGACTTCAAGAGTGGATAAAATTTGCCCTGAGATGCCAAAGGGGACTGTGTGGGGCTGTCATGGTTGAGCAGTCTGTTCAGTGACAGATCTGCATGGTGTTCCTCCATCTTTAAAAAGGGAAACTGAAGAGTATGTTCCAATTATCTGGGGAATAACTTTTCAGTCTCTGTGGGACGTTTTGCTCTGGTGTTGGCAGGCTCCAAACCTCTAATTCAGAAGAAGTACGGCTTTCGTATGGATTGTAAAACAGTGGAGCAGATCTTTACCCTTGATGAGTTTCTAAGGGGGGTTGATTCAGCAGTCCACATGTTTAATGAATGTGGAAAGGTTTATTGCAGTTCCTCAAAGCATTCTGCAAGGATGTAATGCAAAAGTATGAGGTGTCAGGGCTGCTTTTAAGGATTAACCAGTCCCTAGGTAACTAAAGCAGGAGCTGTGTCTGCATCCTGAGCACAAAGTCAAGCTGATTCTCAGTGTAGGATGGACTCCACCAGGGCCGTCTCTGGTCCCTGATCCTGTTTGTGGTGTTCGTGATCCAGACCTCAAGTTACAGTCAAGCAGAGAAGAGTGTCAGGCTTGAGAACCTCAAGGTTCTTTCAACCAATAGAAAGAACCACAGTCAAAGTTTTATCCAATCAGATCAGAGCAGGGCGGGGTAGGTCTTGCTGTCTGACTGACAGTGGGTGAGCGGAGCCTCGGGTCACTCCGCAAAGGCTGCACGCATCGCACACCATTCAAACATTTTGTTAGTTAATCCATCTTCTGCTCTCCTATTTACAACATTTCATAAGTTATCAAGTGTGTTTCCACATGTCCTTTTGGAGAAACCTACAACAAACAAACACATCCACCACTGGCAAGGGCGCGCCCTGTGTGAGTACCCAAAGCGCAACTATAACCGAGCCTTCAGGGCAGGTGACAGCTTCAGTCCCGGGGATACTCTCAGTGTTTCACAGACTATTTTCCACCGAGGATTTTTACTAAATCATATTTTTGAAAGCACCTTGCAGTATTTCCACCACAACACCACATGTTCACACGCACAACAAAACCTTGAGAGACCTCATTTTCACCTGCAGTGCGGCTCAGACCAAATAAATAGTATTAAATGACTACATGAGCTGAAATCCTGTAAATGTAATCCTCTTCATTTAAACAATTGTTTTAGGTTCAGGTTGGACATCAAAATATGTCCTCTCTATATGACAGATTCATTGTAAATGTGAATATTGTCTTTATAGACATTCAGAAAAATAAGACATCCATTTTTCCATCATCTATGACTTCATTGTGTCTTTGTAGCCTTCAACTTCCCCACAAAAATAAAATCTAATTCTATGCTTCCTATTAAGGATGGTGCTTTTCTTTTTTTGTTATGGGCTGACTATAACATTGACTCAAAGTTTCAGGGTCAAGGGAATAAAGTTCAATTTTAATCTCATCACTCCATGACTTTGTTCTACAAGTTTTCAACATGGTTTTGTGGCACTGAATTAGTACTGTCTTTTTGTCAACATAAGTGTGATGTTCATATTATTTAAAAGCATATGTAGAAAAAAATACATCAGTTTTCCGCAGTCAGGCCTGTACTTCAGCTGAGAAGAGCTATAAAACTCATTGACCATTCATACAAAGGTACTAATTACAATCAAACGTGTCATGTGGACGGAGATGTAGTTGCTTATTAGACCCAATCAGACTAAATGGATTGTATATTTGTGCCATATATACACACTGTAAGCAGCAATTTCTTTCTACACGATCTCACACCAAAACACATTTATTTAAAAATGAAAGGATACTTTATCTAATTGAAAAAATATATATATTTACAGCTCAAAACCCTTTCACAATAATGACCATTATTTCAGAGTTTCTGCCCGTGTACATAACCAGATGGACTCAAGTGTCTGATTTAAAGTCAAAAGAATGAAATGAAAGAGGCTAAAATTAGTTTTTTTTATGGGGTCTCTGTGATCACTTTTTGGTGCAAAAACACTCCTTCAACAGGAAACAACCCAAAGCATTTTCAGGAGGTTTATTTTAAAGACCTAGTCTATACTGTATACATAAACAGGGCTCTAGACTGCGACTAATTTGTTTGCAAATGCGACCATATTTTTTTAAAAGTGCACCTTAAAAATATTTGCGGTCACACTGGTGCGCCCAGTCGTTCGGGGTGGGGGGGCGCAGTTGCCCGCTAAAACAAAACGTCTTTATGTCCCGTAAGAAAACCCCAATAAAGCTATCTAGAAGTATGAACACAGTGCTCCGCTCTACACCCCGTGTGAGCACACACACATGCTTGTTCTTCTATCCTCATGGGGACTTTCCAATTGTCCGCTCTGAACATGCGCACACACGCGCTCAGGTGCGCAGTCAATCAATCGCGTTTACTTTTTTTGTTGTTTTTTTTTAAACCAGTCGGTAAAGCTTTATTTTTTGTTAACTGTGGAAATTAAATGTGGATAGTTGCCTGCTCTTAAGTCTCAGTAGTATCTTGCAGTCTGTTCTGCTCTGCAGCACATCTCTCCAGCAACATGAAGCTCACAGTTATGGCCAGGTTCTGAAAATGGTTTTATGACTACACAGCTTAGTTTTTTTAGTGAGACATAAAATTCAACTAATACAAATTAAATTTAAAACTTTTTCATGTCATGTTATTTTCATTATTTTAAAAAAGCTTTTTCCCATTTAATAAATATTAGTAATATTTCTGCTGTTAATCATATTTTCTTTTTTCATCTTTCTGGTTTAGCCAACGCCAAAGATCCTGAAGGCCAAACTACAGGAGTTGCCCATCTGAGGGGCAGGTGTAGTTTAAAAGACATTTAACAGGGCTCTAGAGTGCGACCAATTTGGTCGCAAATGCGACCAGATTTCCTAATAGTGCGACTAAAAAAAATGTCCAGTCGCACTGGTGCGACCGAGGGGGAGCGGTCGCCCGCTGAAACTAAAAGTTTTCATCATGTTCCATAAAAATAATCCAGCAGTATCAATGGTCGCCCACCGACAGTCTCATCTCTCCTAATAACACTGCTCTCTGCTCGCGGCTCCGCTCCACACCTCCTGCACGCACACACGTTTGTTGTTCTATCCTTATGGGGACTTTGCATTGGCTTCTGTAGCCAACCATAACCTCCCAGGTACGCTACACACCTGACCCAAACCCTAACCTCACCAGGCTGTGTGTACCGTGGAAATGGTCAATAATTGTACCCACCATGAAGCAAAAATCTGTACCATAGCGAAACAACCGTAGTTATTTTTGTTTGTTTGTTTGTTTGTTTGACCCAGATCGGGGTCTGAAAAACAGTTTTCTTGTTAGCTGGAGATGAAAACAAGATGTGGACGGTTGCTCGCTCTTAAGTCCATCTTGTTAATTTAACAGTCAGGGTCTGAGCGCTGCAGATCATTTGAGCAGGACGAGGAAGTTCACATGTATGGCAGGCCGCTTTTGCACTTAATCGACTTCACCACAGTTACATTCCAAGTTTCTGAAATAGGTTCTTCTGGGTCTCAGGAGGATAAAACTAGACATATTAGATATTTAAGTGAAATAATACAAGATAATAAGAGTCAACTAATGATGAAATTGCAGACTTTTATGTGTTATTTAAAAAAATGTGCACAACTTTTTAATAAATATCAGTAATATTTCTGTTATTAATCATTAGTGTCTGTTCATCATTCTGGTTTATCCAAGGCCAAAGATCCATAGTTGTCCATCTGAGGGGCAGGTGTCTAAAAAAATGTAACCATGAAATGTTTAATATGTTTATAAGACATTCAGCTCTTAAACACTTGCACTTATTCTGGTTCAAATAAAGAACTTTATGTTTACTAGATTGCTAACTAATTATTTTTGAGTTAATGTTGCTTTAATGAACAGTGATTAAAAAAATAACCTGTAAAACTCTCATGTTAAATGTGATGTGTTTGCAAATTTGGGTGCACCTAACTTTTGTAATGGTGCACCTAAGGAAAAATGTTGGGCACACCGGTGCAACCAGTGCAAAAAGTTAGTCTAGAGCCCTGATAAACCAAACCTAAACTGACTACAGATCCTATATAAAGAGCTGTAAAATGCTGGAGGACAACATATGGACCTGGGATGTTGTAAGAACCTGCTCTGTGATGAGAAAACTCTGATACTTGTTTCTGATACTAAAAGAACTAAAATTGCTGTAAGTGTGGCTGTTAATGATCCACAACAGCAAAATGTCCAATACACATTACAGTGTGGTATTTTAAAAAGGAAACCCCTTCATCGCATTATTAACTGTTATGCAACAACAACCTGAGAGCAGCTTTTAGGAATCTGTAAGTGCTGATTGGCAGCAGACCAGCATCCTCTGCCAAATCCTGTTGAAATGTATCTCTTTTATCAGCTTCACTGGCAGGAAACCAGCCATAACTTACATACTCATTACTGTTCTGCAAACTGAGGAGGCAGGTACAACTGCACTGGATCAAGATGCAACGCCTGACACTTCCTACTATTGAAGACACCAGAGGATTTATTGCAAATAAGAGAACAAATCAGAAGAAAATGATAAATCACAATGCAGGTTTTAAAATCATCAAAGGTTAACATGAGCGTAGCTCCTTAACAAGAAAGCAAGTCACATTGCTTATCCTAAAAACTCATGAATGTGGTTAATAAAATAAAAATGCACAGAACAAGCTGAGTATAAACAGCCTTCAAACTCTGATGGTGCCTATAATTCAGGAATCACAGGAAAATAACATTAAATAAAGCTGGAAAGAGGAGAAGGTCAGAATTTCTCCACTAATTCCAAATACTGTAATATTTAAAATCATTATGGGCCTCATGTACAAAGGCTGCAGGCAATCAAAAATGTGGCGTATGGCCCTTTCCACAAAACCTCAGATGTATCAACAATGAACTGACCATGGAAATGTGCACAGCCTCATGCCAACTTCATGGCTTGTGTACACACGTTTCTACAGTTACTGGTTTGCTGGCAACACTTAGAGGGTATGCTGGAAAACGATTAAGGATGTGAAAACAATTATTGGATATGCCAGAGACAAATGATGAACAGGACGACATCCATGTGGAAACAATTAATAAGAGGTGAGCATGCTCAGAGTGGCGCAGAAAATGGCTTTAGACTTCTTAATATCATTTTTATTGCAGGATTATTAAGTGTGAAGAGCATGTATTTAGAGAGCAAGAGGACTTTCAGGACTAAAATGACAACTCAGGATTAACAGCTTAGGATTTCCAAGACCAATCCTGTTGGTAGTCGGAGCGAGCCATGGCAGTTTGAGGCAAATGCTGGTTTTCCTAATATAATTAAAGCTTATAATTAAAGTCTTTGCTTGATTCAGTCAGACTGCCATCTTTATATTCCTGATGGTGTCAACAGGCAAACTCAAAACCTCTCTGCCTTCACAAGAATCCCAAATACACTGAGTGTTAATTATAAAACACATCTGTTGATGTTCATCAAATAGTGTTGTTTTTGTTCATAAAACTAAAATGATCTTAATGTTGTGTGTAATTTGTGCTACAGACTGTAGCCATTTAGTTCATCTTTTATGTTTATTTGTTCTATCCCTTAACACAGAGCAAGTGATAACTTTTGTATTTATATAACCCCCCATAACTTTGTAAAGAAATAAACAGAAATATTTACGTTCATTTAACAAGCAATTCTTACTTTGCAAAATGTCGACTGGTGGAAGAAAAAAAAAGTTAAATACTACTAAAAATGTCATTACAATCAATAATACGTCTTTATAAAGCAGGAAAAAAAACTAAATGCTGCTGGTTCCATTGTGTAACAATTTGGTTTGTTTTTCCCTTCATCCTCAGTTGTTAGTTTTTCCTGAAAAAGTGTCATTTATTGCAAACGTTTGATTGCAGTTGTTGATGTGGGCCAACCACACACTCCTTGTACAGTATTTACCTGACCGCAAATTTTATGAGTATTCTGTACACATGTTTGATTTAAAAAGTATTAAACATGAAAAAATATAAACCTATTTATGTTAAATTGTTTTCTTTGAGTCATCCTCACAGGGTTTCTACAGTTTAAGGCAAGCTAAATTTAAGACATTTTAAGACCTCTTTAACGCCAGTTCAAATTAAATTTTAAGACCAACATCACAATAAACACAAATGGGGGAAAAAGCCCAGTTAGCAACAGTTTTAGCCAAATGTTTATCCATCCATCCATCCATTTTCTGTACACGCTTCTTCCTTTTCAGGGTTGCGTGGGTCACTGGTGCCCATTTCCAGCAGTCACAGTGCGAGGGGCGGGGTACACCCTGGACAGGTCGCAAGTCCATCACAGGCAAATGTTTATTTTAATACAAAAACTAGCTGCGAGGGGCATTCAATAAATTATTTAAAAAGAAAAGTAAAATTACCAATTCTTTTAATATTTGAGAGGAATTGCAATCATCCTACAATGTGTTAACAGTTTAAGACCTCTGAAAGAATGATTTAAGACTTTTTAAGGTTAATTAACGCCTTATTTTTGGACTGATAAATTCAATGCCTTTTAAGACTTTTCAAAGATCTGTAGGAACCCTGCCTCAGTAAATATTCTGGGATCAGACTTGAAATAAAATGATCTTTCCTGATTCTGTTCAGGGACGAGGACTGATTGAAAATAACTATTTATTTTCTTTGGTCTTAAACAACCAACTGCAAAAACAATTCCAACCATTACACAGGAAGAGAGTAACTTGTTAACAAAGAAGAAAGCGGTTTAGATTTCTCACCCTCAGCAGTGTGCAGTTGTTTTGGATGGTAGCTTTGGCCAGCAGCTGACAGGTTAGGTCAAAATAACCTGTGAGCTGAACGTCAGACAGAGGGACCGCAGAGAGAACTGAAGGGCCCAAAACGTGACCGGCAGCCCAGGATCGTAGCTCCTCCACAGTCTGACGGTCCTCCTCGGTGAAACTGAAGGATTTGCTAGATGTCCGAGGCTCCAGAGCTCCGCCCACTGATCCATCAAATGTCACCACAGAGAAACCAAAGGTGCTGACCAATGTCACAGAGTTGTTGTAGGATTTAACCTGTGTGGGAAAAATGCAGGGCTATTTTTATTGATTCATTTTTTATGATGTTTTTTTTAATCCAGTGCTGTATGAATAAAGAATCAGTAAACCATGGATGGTCTTTGCAGAGACTTGTGGTGGTCTAAATGTGTGTAATTTGAATGCAGTGGTCCCATCAAGCATGACTAATCATAATGGATCCACAATACTCATCATATTTCTAGAATTTTTGTTAAAATTTGTCAATTTTCACGAGTCATTTTTTTTCTAATTTTACATTTTTTCTATTTAAAATTTATAATTTAATCGTATAAAATAATGTAAACAGAAAACCAAAAAATAAAGAAGAGCTGGTACCGGCCCACCCTGAGCACAGGGTAGCAGTGTGTCAAGGTTGTGGGTGAACCATGGTGCAGCATGGTGGCCGTTTGAAGCGAGACTGGATTGGGTGCGATGGTGACACGGTCTTGGAAACAACCTAGCTCAGGTGTGGCAGTAGCATGGCATGATCGATATAGCATTTGAGCATCATCATGGCCATGTACGTGTGCTCACGTGGGAGGAAAATTAAATAAACGTATAAAATGTAAGTCATTGCACTAAACGATCGTGTGTTATGAATTTTATTTTCCACGAGCAAAAGCGGCTGTCGGCGGCTTTGAGTAAAAAATAAAAACAAAATAGAAAAAAAAACTTTCTTGTGAAACTTGTGAGACAAAAGTGGCAGCATTTTTTGGAGAACTGTTGTCGGTGTAACCTCGAGCTGCGGAGGAAGACGATGACAAACCTTGATGAGAACCAGGAGGAAAAGAGGTAAAATACATTTTAGCATGAACGCTGAATTTTGATGAAAACAGAAACTGAGCTCGACACAGAAGCAACACATTAGGTTTGTTTTTTAGTAACACAATTCATGTTTGCCCATGATAAAAAGAAACATGTACTCAGGTCCCAGCACAATAAAAATTAACTGGAATAACTCGAATACAGACAGAAAACATACTTGTACCATGAACAAAGACAGATAAAATTGGTGCAGGTTCATCGTCAACAAGATAATAGGATGGCAGCAGAAAGTAAAGTCTTATTCAAGTCATTTGTTGAAAATTCCTGTATTTTTTCAAACTGCAATGTACATCACAGGATTAGAAAAAAAATCACAAAGTCATTTGTTTATAATACTGTGCAGTAGGGTTGGGCGATATGGCCTAAAATCAATGAGCAAGTTCACCTCGATAACGATAAATGCACAATAACTCTTACCACACCCCACCACACACAAGTACACGGTATAGTATAGTCATAACACTATACACTGTGTCCACGTTTTTAATCAAAGTTCACAGTTCAGATTTTGAACAGCTTTTCTGTAGTTTATATTTCTCATTTTAGTGTTTTTAATATTTAATAAAATACATTTTTGGCAAGACTTGAGTCAGATATAGTCATACAGATATTAAACTATCTTCATAACTTTTCAGTGCAAACACATTATGTATTTAATTGAAAAAAACATACCAATCGTCTTTTGCACTGCACAAAATAACTTAAATACATCTTTTATTTGTTAGACTGACTTGATTTCTCTATTAAAATAACTATTGCTTTCAAAAAGATTATATTATTTAGAGAGCTCATGTAATCAATTAATACTATTTATTCTTCATATTTGATCATTTATTGAATCACAGAGCAGTTCAGTCACAGTGTGGTTCTACATATAAGCAAGATATATTGTGAAGAATGAAATATTTAGATATGATAAACTACATAGCGGGTCTTTTTCTTTTTTGGGGGGTGGGGGGTAACGCTAAGCGGAGACTCGTCTTTTCTATTATATGGGACAAACAAATGTTAGAGTTAATATTGTTTCATTAGAAGAGCTGAAACAGCAGCTCTCACAGAACTCAGTCTGTGTGCACCTCTGTGTGCTCCTGTAACAGCGCTGTCGAGGACAGGAGTTTGGTCACGTGAGCAAAGTTGGACATAATCTGTTCGATAACAACGGCCTGAACATATAAACTTATAGTCTGTTAGGTTTTAGATACCAATGTCTCGGGTAGCTCAGGAGAAAAGTGTGGAGGACGGGGTTTGCTCGCTCAGGACAGGAGCTGCAGGCTGACCGGTGTTTATCCTGCAGACTGCTGCACCAACATCAGAAAGACCTCTGCTCTGATTGGATAAAGCTGTGGGGTTTGTTTGATTTGTTGAAAGCAGCATCTGTTTAAACCTGTGTCAGGCTGGGCGGCTTTAACGAGACCGCAACAGAAAACGAGCATGTTTCTCTTTTCCTCTTTTTGCCGAAAATACAGACGGGCAAAATGACGTCAGTTATTGACATAAATGTCGGTATCTGTTATTTTTTGGTTTATCGCCCAGGCCTACCGTGCAGCCCTGACTGGGTCCTAGATGTCAGGGTGGATGCACAGAGCATGGTGAGGGTACAGGAAAGCTTTTTGGGGACGTGCAAAGTAACAAGAAAAACCTATTTGGTAGCACTGATAGGTTTGACCAGAGATGGCCATGGAGAGAATATCAGTGGTTCCCATCCTGTGTGAAGAGAATCTTAGGAAACAATAAGCTTCTGCTTGTTTAAATTAAACATTATGCATTTTATACTGTTTTATGTTTGTTTACTTGTTGGTTCCTTAAACCAAAGCAAAATCCTCTGACTGCACCTTGACTCTATGCATGCGGATGATGTCTCCGATCTTAAAGATTTTGGGATGGTCCTCCAGGTTCTCACAGAAGATGGTGCATGCAACACTGTGGTTGGACTGGTCAGTGATCTTCAGACTGGAGCAGAAATCTGTGGAAAAAAACAATAGTTTTACCTAAAAATTCCAGATGTTTAAATGTTTTATAAAAAGTAATGCTGCAAAAACTATTAAAATAGTAATCAAAGGAATCTCTAAACCACTAACTTATATTTGCAATTTATCATTTCAAACGGGATCATTTCCCAACAAAATGAAAACAGCTAAGGTCAAACCAATGTATAAAACTGGCGACAAACACCTCTTCACTAACTACAGGCCTGTCTCTCTTCTCCCACAATTTTCTAAAATCCTGGAAAAACTCTTCAAGAAAAGAGTGGAACAATTCATAGAAAAACATTTGCTACTTAGCAGCAGTCAATATGGATTCAGAGCAAACCGGTCAATATCGCTGGCCGTAACTGACTTAATAGAAGAAATAACCAATGCAACAGATAGTAAGAAACTAGCAGTAGGGATATTTATAGATCTAAAGAAAGCTTTTGACACAATAAATCATGAAATCCTACTTAAAAAACTAGAACACTATGGAATTAGGGGAGTAGTTTTGGACTGGATGAGGAGTTATTTAAAGAGCCAAAAACAATTTGTGAAATTGGGAGATGTGGAATCTGACTGGCAGGAGACTGTCTGTGGAGTACCACAAGGATCAGTACTGGGACCAGTTTTATTTAATCTTTATATAAATGATATCAGTAAAGTGTCCAATGTMTTAAAATTTATCTTATTCGCTGATGACACAAATATTCTAGCCTCAGGCGACAATTTAGAGCATCTTCTCTCAACAGTCACCTCAGAGATTAGTAAGTTAAAGATATGGTTTGACAATAATAAATTATCACTAAATTTGGACAAGWCGAAAATCATGGTTTTTGGGAACTGTTACAAAAATACTGAAATCCAAGTCCAAATASAGGACGTAACTCTAGAAAGGGTTTTTGCTAATAAGTTCCTCGGTGTAATAATAGATGACAAAATCAGTTGGAAACCTCATATTACACATTTACAGAGCAAACTCAGTAGAAGCATATCCATATTGGTTAGAGCTAGACATGTATTGAATGCTGAATCACTTCATATTCTATATAACTCTCTGATTTTACCATATCTATCATATTGCTGTGAAGTGTGGGGAGTTACAGTGGTTTGCAAAAGTATTCATACCCCTTGAACTTTTCCATATTTTGTCACATTACAACCACAAACATAAATAT